TCTAGCTTCTCTAACACTTTACAAAATGTGAGTAACATCAGTATGTACTTGACATCATACCTCACAACTACCCTTTTTAAATATAGAATTAAAAGGTTGCGTTTGGGTATGAGTCATAACAAGAGTTGTGTCCCTATAGCAATTCATGTTGAGTTGTATTTGGCCTTGCTAATACTGCACAAATAGTCTGCAATTACCAAAGCCCTTTACAAAAGTATGTAGTCTTATGTACATTTGATTGAGAAACTGAGGCTCACCAGTGGGGTCACTTTGACCCTGCTGTATGACAGTAGGTGTGGCAAGAGTTGGAGTAATACTCAGGTTAGAATCCTAGTCTGGTGCTGCTTTCTTTGGTCTTGTGATAAATTGATTTTTAAATATAGGACACATGACATGCTCTCCATCAGATGTCTTAATCTTACTCAATTTATAATTGTAAAATTCAAGTCTCCCAGTAGCTTGACTACTGTAAATGTTAATGAAAATGAAGTGATACTGAAATAGGTTGGCTACATATGTGGGCTAGAACTTAATGGCTTTTGCCATGGCCTGAATCTGTCTTAACCCCATCTGTTGCCTTGCAGCGGGAGAGAAGATGCAACTGAACGAGAATGATGATAATCTGTGTAGGATCTGCATGGATGCAGCAATTGATTGTGTTCTCCTGGAATGTGGTCACATGGTTACTTGCACAAAGTGTGGCAAAAGAATGAGTGAGTGTCCCATTTGTAGACAGTATGTTGTACGAGCAGTGCATGTATTTAAGTCTTAAGACCAAAAATGCATTTTATAGCCACATTGATATCCAATATTTTTGGGGGCAAGAGTGGTGAAGCTTGTTATGGATAACATTAGTTTTAATATGAATTGAACATTTTTGAACAAGCTATAGAAGTATTTGAAATGTTTTCTTATGGTGTAAAAGTAATTGAAATTGCACCTTGGTGATGTAACTCAGGCAGCTCCTGCTGCATACTTTAAAAAATACAAACTGTTTACAGCAGATCTAGCATCACTTCTTGCTCTTGAGGAGAACACCTTAATCATTAATTGGCTAAAAGATCAAGTCGAAGAAACTGCTTTACCATGACTATCTTTCTGACTCAATGCATATTCATTGAACCAAACTAATGTAAATTGCTTTTTGTAAATTAAATATTGCTCTTTATAGAATGTAACTGTTTTGACTCTGTTTAACAATGGTGTTAAAACAGTCAATAAAACAAGATTGTAGAAAGCAATGTGTGCATTTCTGTGCAGGTACAACTCATGTTTCCATGCTTATTGGTTCATTCAGAATGTACACATGTAATGGCAGACATTGTCCTTGAACACTTTTATCAAAGTGAACTGCTTACTGATAGCCAAATACTAATTGTTTAAAGAATAAAGTCTAGTTAAAGGGAATGAGAGATGTTAATTTTGGTCCCAAATTCATTTAAACTTTCTATTAGTCTTTAAAAAAAAAACTAGTCTATATGAGGATCTTAATATAAACAGATCAGTATAGTGAAACTGGTAGATGCTAACTATTGGAATGATCATATTAAACTTTTTTCTGGAATTGGGATAGATCTGAATTGGAAGGTTTTTGGCTCTTGATCAAACAGATATTTGAATCAAGATTAGGGTGGTAGTGAACAAAATTGCCACCTGGGAAAGAGGTTTTCAGTCCAGTTCCTATTTAGCACCAAATCACCATCCCACTATCAGAGGCATTAGTTCCTTTAGAACAGTGTTTCCCAATTGGTGCTCCGGGGAACCCTGGGGTTCTGCAGAGCACAACGAGGGGTTCCGCGAGGAGCCGGCGCTCCCCCACCCCCTCTGAAAGAGAGAGAGCCGGTTAGCCAGCATGGAGCTGGTCCCGACCCTGCACGCGTGCGTCCTCCCAGCCTGGCCCCAGAGCGTCTCTCCCCCGGACCTGTCCCTGCTGTGCACGACCTTCCCTGAAGGTGAGCGCTGGCCCCGGGAGCGCCGCAGATTGGCCGCCCGCGCTCTGGGTGTGTGGTGCTTGAAGGAGGCGCCGGCCCCGGGCGTGCGGCACCTGGAGGGGGGGAGCTACGGCCCCAGGCGCGCAGCACTTGGAGAGGGGGGGACACCGGCCCCGGGCACGCTGTTATGGGGGGCCCTGCCCCTTGGCGCCCGGCGGGCGAACTGCCACGCCCCCTGGCACCCGGCAACCTCCAGAGGTTGGGGACCACTGCTCTACGGGAAGGTTCTGTTCTGTTAACATTTGTTCTCCCTTTAGGTGAATCACTGAACTAGTTTTTCTTGCCTGTCCAATAGCTGATAAATTAGAGACTCCAAGACAGTTTTGGAAAGAATAATAAATAACCACAGTGTCATGATCAATATTTGCTTATTGAAGAAACCGGTCTCTTATATCCAAAACTGCAGGTGAGCCATTGCTGAATGTAATTTGACATCTCCATTTGCCAAAAAAAATAAAAAAATAAAAAAATAAAAATCCTGCATTCCTGATATTTCTCATTATCAGGACTATGAAAGGTCCTGTACAAACACAGCACAGTGAGTTACATAGTGTAATGTTCACATGGGGCAGAAGATCCATGCAGCAGCCTCTAACATTCATGCCCATAGCAAGAAGGGCATGGCTGGAACTCCACAATCTCTCCTGTGTATTATTGTGTATTATTGCTGTGTGTTACAGATGAAACTATATGCTCATTTTAATTAAGCCAGTATTATGGAGTTGTTTGTTAGTCAATGGATAGTCAGTGGGATTTCAGTTTATACAAATGAATGGTCAAAAACACTGTGGAGAAGGCCTGGAGATGCACTGAATGAACAGCCATACACAGCCTGCTTTTCATCCCATACCTGCAGCAAGGTATTCTCTGCACAAAGCCCAGCTTCTCAGGAAGGGGTGAATCTCAATCATAAGTTACTTGTGTGCTCCTAGGAGATATTTTAAGATAATTTTTTTCACTCTGTAGAAACTTTCTGCTGTTACCAAACTATATACAAATGTAGTAGGCTACAATTTGTTGTCTTTATACTCAGAGAAATATGTACAGTGAGTGTTCATTGGAATTTCAGATTGCTTGACAGTAACTGAAAGCAATATTTGGCTCTGGCTCTGTAACCACAGAAACATTTACTTGACAAAAATGTTAGCACATGTGAAAAGGTATTTAAAGTTTGAGTGAAAAGGACAGAACAAAATGAATTTAGATTTAAGAATGTCTTCCATAATAACTTTGGTCTGACTCTACATATCCCATTGGTATCTCAATATAAACAATTAAGAAGGAAATTTGCTTATGTACTATCAGCTTTTTAAGATAATTGAACATTTAATTTGTGTTGTGCTGATACTGGGGGAATTCTGCAGTTGTTGCATTTGAGCCATAATAAAATTGCAGAATTCCCACAGGACTTGTGTGTGTGAGAGAGAGAAATTCCACTGTTAATTTCAATACAACGAATATTTTATTTTTATTTCTTAACTATA